AGGCAGCAGCGGAGTTAGGAGACGAGAACAAAACCTACGAAAGGTGTCTAAGAAAAGTGAGGAGAGAGGAAATCCAGACTTAATTAGGTCTATAATCAATAGCCTAACTGTTAAATGTGCCTGGCTTTATAAACCTTCCATATAAAGTACCAGTCAAAGTTTGGACACACCTACTCATTCAACGGTTTTTCTTTATTTTTACTATTTTCTACATTGTAGAATAATAGTGAAGACATCAAAATGATTAAATAACACATATGGAATCATGTAGTAACCAAAAAAGTGTTAAACAAATCAAAATATATGTCATATTTGAGATTCTTCAAAGTAGCCACCCTTTGCTTTGACTATCATTTGTTTTTCTACAGGACAATGACCCAAAACACACCTCCAGGCTGTGTAAGGGCTATTTGACCAAGGAGAGTGATGGAGTGCTGCATCAGATGACTTGGCCTCCACAATCACCCGACCTCAACCCAATTGAGATGGTTTGGGATGAATTGGACCGCAGAGTGAAGGAAAAGCAGCCAACAAGTGCTCAGCATATGTGGGAACTACTTCAAGACTGTTGGAAAAGCATTCCTCATGAAGCTTGTTGAGAGAATTTCAAGAGTGTGCAAAGCTGTCAAGGCAAAGGGTGGCTACTTTGAAGAATCTCAAATATAAAATATATTTTGATTTGTTTAACACTTTTTTGGTTACTACATGATTCCATATGTGTTATTTCATAGTTCTGATGTCTTCACTATTATTCTACAATGTAGAAAATAGTAAAAATAAAGAAAAACCCTGGAATGAGTAGGTGTGTACAAATTTTCACTGGTACTGTATATCTACAGAAATAAGACAGATCCTGCTTCTGTTGCCTGCTTGAGTGTTTGTTTAGTAGCCTACTGATTCCGTGAGCACCAAGCCTCACGCAACCACGTCGGATAAACAATTTGACAAATTCTGCTGTTTTTAATCTTTGCTATACTGTAATAAAGGCTTTATACTTTTTTTTCGTAAGACCAGCCTCTCTGGTATTATTTATAATTAATTTAGTGTTGTTTACACTGTTCCAAATTGTCAGAATAATTATATATATAATAATAATAACCCTCCTTTTACTTGATCTCCTTCTTATTGTTATTATTACTATTATGATCATCATTATAATAATAAGAGATGTCTTTATCATTAGTAGGCTTAGTATAGCAGCCTTGTAGAACCACCATCGAGCTGTAGGCCTAAGAGCACATCCTGTTTAGTCTTAATACTGTAACTTACTTAGGCCTATATTTCAATACTTACATAGGCTACTGTATCAATCAATCATTTATATGTTAATGTCATCACACAGCATACAAGTCATTCATCATGTGAAATGCAATCAAACATTTTAATTTTAAAATAGAATTACAAAGCGACCATTGAATAATTAGTGTAAACAATAAATAGGTCTAAAGGTGTATTAAAGGCTTTACAAAAAAAACTAAAAAGTGTTACAACTCTGGTAAGCTTTTAATTTATTTTGTCTTGTTTACATTGTTTACATTGTTCCAAATGTCAGAGAAATTATATTGTAATCTAACTGCACCTGTTTGGCACACATAATATGCACACAGTGCATGTTCCGTACCTTATTTTTCTTGATCTCCAGTATGTTCCACAACTAGTCACATTTATTCCACACATCTGACTTCCCCTTTACCTTCTGAGCAACCAGTAAACATTCCCCCATTTCGAGTATATTTGTCATATCCTCTGCATCCATTTTGCTGTCACATGTGTTATGTTTTCAGAGTTTGATATAACCAATTTATTGAAGTGATAGGTCAGGCCCTATTGGTCACGTGCATGCGATGCATACAAGTGTCATAAAGAAAGCAAGGGTTGAGGGAATAAGGAATGTTTTTTCTAAACAAATTAGGGATTTCGGTAACATAACTTCAGCAACAGGGACAGCGCGATACACACTGTTGATGTTCTGTGGTGGTCGCTGCAGCAGGGAGGAGAGAGAGACAACGGGTACTAGTCACACAGTCACTCGCCATCTTTACTCTTGGTCGACCAATATTGTTTTTAGTCGGAGACAGTAGTATCCACCAATCCAAAGAAAGGATAGGCGGGAAATAGACAGCCCGCCATGCTGCTTTGTGGACAACGACACCCATTGTTAGGGCGGAGAGACGTGTATCTTGTCAGTATATCCATAATCTTTGGTTACATGTAAACGCTGACTACTGATAGGCCTATAGCCTAATCATTTAGCCTGGGAATGAGGTTACATATAGCCTAATATACCATAATTGCTTGTGCTTGATTTGAGCCGGAACAGGATCCAGCACCTCTCCGTTTTGGACTGTTTTGTTCCGGAACCTATTTGGTCGGTACCTCTCCAGGCATTAAAAATAATTTTCACTTTTTACAATGTAAAGATTCTAATAAACGCGATCAAAGTTCATTTGAGTTGCCTCTTAGTTAATTATCCTCCCCCCACAAAAAAGCCTAATGTGAAAACGTAGATTTTCAGCACGGGCCTAATATGGTTTGCGCAGCCTATGTTTGAGACCAACGGGTGGCAGTGGCTTCGTGAAAAGCGCGCCAGTAATAAATCTCACATAACTAGAATGAGATTCACTTTCTATGATCTCTCTCCCTCTCGCTACTCTGATAGACATGAGCCTGCAACTGTCATCTCTCCAGCGTTGCACTTAAATCAGAATAGCCTATTACACCATGAGAAGGCCTATAATTTAGCGACAGAGGAACAATAGCTGTGGATTGTAGCCTAATAAGAAATTGCCTACAGTCGGGAACGCGCAGTAAATCTGTCAGTTAAAAAACAGCATGCAAACAAAACCGTCCTTTCGCAATATTTCAATTACAATCGAGGGAAATCACAGGTTGGAAAGCAAATGGCTCCTGCTGAAAAGAGAAGACAACGCTGTAAGCTACCAACATATTTGATCAACTTCCAAATATTGTTTTACGAGAGAGAGAGAGCGAGAGAGATATATAGGCTTTTGATACGAGCGCATCTGGTGAGCTGCGCATCATTAGGTGAGTCATTGAAACTGGAAAACATTTTTAGGACTATAATTTCCTCTTCATATGTAGCATACAATATGTGTCTCCACACACCTAGGCCTAGGCTATTGATGGATTCAAGACAAGGTCGTTTTTATTGATCTCTGATTCTCAGTTTGTCAGTGTCAAAGTAGCCTGCCATTTCGATCATTTGTGCGGTATTAAAAAAGATTCTGCCAAAGTCTCCGGTCATTTTAGAAAAGTTCCCGGACATGTTCCACATGTGTGCAACTTCTATAAGTGCCTGTACTCTACTGCTCTATGCCACTACGTAAATGCGATGATATGCATGCAGTGCTTTATTATCAAGTTATTTATTTTTTTTCTCATGCGTTCCGGTACTTCAGAACTCCCCAGGTCACCCCACTCTCGCGCTCACTTTTTTGTTCCGGCACCTCCCGATGTACAAATTAAGCACTGATAACTGCAGGTCATGACACGCATGTGTACAACATCTCTTTCAATAAATGTTTGAGTTGTCATAAGTATTCTCCTGACATGTGTATGCCTATGCTATATATCATACGAATAACACACAGCCTAAAGGCTTGGCTAGCCTACTTGCCTGTATTAAAACTGTCTCTTGTCTATTTGAACCACAATTGTCCTAGACAACCAAACCACCTAATTGTATAAGTGAAAAACAATCCATACCAGAAAATAAATTCAAATATGAACTCACTCAAGTGCTGGAAACAGTCCGAGGGCTGTTCTTGAAAGCGCATTCTCTGCGGCGCTTAGGCGGTCACAAGACTTGGACATACATTAACAAAAACATCCGCACGCAATTAGCCGACAGGTCAGCTTCAAGCCCATAGGCCAATGAGAAACACCTCTGCCTTCAACAGGTCTAGCAACTTTGGAAACTTATTTCACATACAGTTGCGCGCATTGGATAACCTACATTTCCCCAAATGGAAACCTCAGCATTACGCTCTCCTATCCAAATTTGAAATTGCAACATTGTTTTTCCTAAACAGGTATAAGGAGTAAAGTGGTGTTCTTAGCCCACATTCAGTGATGGTTTTAGACGTAACGGATGGTTGAGGTTGCAAGGAGGGGCACATGCCAAACGGAGCGACCAGCAGTGGAAGAAATTAAACCAAAGATGTCAACAATTGCCTACCACCCACTCGAAATCGATTGTATTACCTTCAAGAAGCTCGCGGAACGTATAAAACGGGACGCATGATATCAAGACTCAGAAGACTGGCTGCAGACAACGGAATCTTCTGTCAATAAGCGAAAGAACAGACAACGGAATCTTCTGTCAATAAGCGAAAGAACAGACAACGCCTAGAGAGATTTGATACAGACAACTCGTGTGCACTTTTCAGGACATAAGCATCCTTTAATAAATTAAAGTAAGTTGTAGTTTGTTTTCCAAGTCAATTTGAGATTATATTTCTATATCCATGTTATTGTCATCTCATCTGCTTTGTAGAGATACAAAGTAGTATACTGTCATCATCACATGAAAGTTACTATTCATCAAAGCAAATGTTCTCATACTTGTTTGGATTTGATTGAAGTCAACACACCTTGTTTTATTGTTGTATTATATTAGAGAAATATATCAGCGTTACTGTAGCTTTGTATAGTGTTATGTTAAACATAATGTTGAGGCATAGACAATTGTTTTTCTGGCAACATTTTCATTCCCTCTAAATGTGACTATTTTAAGTAAAAATATCTTACTCAGAGTTGCATTTATTACCCTGTTTCATGTCAATTATATTGTTTGTTCACAAGTGTGCTTCATTTAATAGGCTACTTCACACTGTTTCCATCACAATACATTTTATACCCATCTTTTTCGGGTGATAGAAGTATGCAAAGTCACTTTACACAGACTCACAACATTTATTTCTGTCCAGCACTGTATCTAACTTGATTTGTGTTGGCTTGTTTGCCCAGCTAGAATAGCCATGCAGACAGAGAGGAAATGGTACATACTGTCGAGTTTATTCCTTCTGCTGATCACCTCGGGCCAGTGCATGGACAGCAAGGAGGTGATGCACAAAGAGAGAAGGACCCTGCTGGACCATATCTTTCAGGTTATCGGAGACAGCCAACGGGGGGACAAGCCTTCAGTCTCCAGTCGCTATAACAGTGACCTCTTCCCCGCAGCACAAGACATTAAGTTCTCTGGAGAAAAGCCTTTATATGTTCCTAGGCTGGATAACAGCAGACCCATAGGTAAGCTGATAAGATTTAAGTTCAGGCCATGATGAAACTGTAATCCCTATTTTACTAGGGCTTGACTAGGGCTTGACTAGGGCTTGACTAGGGCTTGACAGCTGCCGTTGGTCTGTGTCAATATCTTTGCTACTATAGCCTTTTGTGCATGCTTACTTGTCCATTTCCATGTAAGAAATGTCACACTTTGTGATTTGAGGAGGTGAGAGCTTAGCATACTAAACTTGTGAATGTTCCATTCAGTTCAGGATACATTGCTGAATCTTCAAACATGAATGATCTGCCTCCTCTAGCTCATTGGCCAGCCAATGGCGAGCGTCACAGGAACGCATCACAGGTGACGTGAGACCCAGGACAATAACGTGGCACACAGTTTAGTCAGCTGTGAATACGCAGCCATTTTTACCACATTCACTGACTTTATTTCACCTGTGAGCTCAAAAGACTATACTAATATAAAAGCTTTTATGCTCAGTTGGAAAGATATATAATCCATACGATTCGTGTTGTCTTTTGGAACCTTGAGGTACTTTGAACGGGAATATGTTTTTGTTACATTAGTCAATTTAGTAATCTTACCATGACTGGTAAAATCATGACTTATTGCTTCTGGAAGAAATGTTATCTATGGCTTTGATATATCTTTGAAGTCATTGTCAAGTCAAAGTGAGTATGGCGTTACTGTGCCTTAGTCATTACATAATAGCATATATGCTGACTGAAACTGAGCCATACTTCCTTAATACTCATCTGTGCAATTGTCTGAGCAATGGTACACATTCCCTCAGACTGTCCATATACCCATCCAAAATATTGGTTTTAAAGATGTTGCGACATTCCGGTCAAACGTTGGGTCAAGGTTTAATCAGAGGCTTTATTTGGACTGACATCCCCCCAATGTTGTCCAGGCAGTGTTTCAGACCCACTGTGTAACAGGCAGAGAACCACACAGGCTGCTGGCTAGATGGAATGTACCTTTTGAGGAAGTTAAATGCTGCACATTAGCAAGCGGTGAGTGCACCATTCCTTAAGTTAAGACCCACAGTCACATAGATTGTCCGTGTTTTGCACGCAAGTAAGGAAAGAGAAATACCTCCTGCACACAGTTTCCATTCTCTTTACCAAGGCACACTATAGGCATCTCTTTTCTTACCAACAGGCTGAGTTGTTTTGAGATGTGCGTGTATTACCATATTTTTTTCATGTACCTATCCCGACCTGATAAGGAGCAGGAGAGTGAAACTCAAAGAAATAGATTGACAGAAATATTCTATGTTTATCGTGATCAGGGCCAGTTGGTTTATCCTCAGGATCATGGTACTGTATATCTGAAGTCCTGAAGTCTTCAGAGTGACCATGCTACAAGCTGAAAAACACTCCAGACAAACTGCATGTTGCATTAGTCCCCCCCCCCCCCCCCCCCCCCCAAACAGTACTATTCCCTTATATAGGTGGATAGTCAGCAGTGATGTAGTGGTAAAGAATAGGTGGGTCAATTCTGATTGACGGTTGCGGTAAAAAAAAGTAAAACTTCCTTTTCTTTCAATGCATCTTTCCGCAAAAGGTGGGTCAACTTATGGACGGAAAAAACAGTGGGTAAACTGTGTTTACTTGCATTTACCCTCCACTACCACCACTGGTCTTATGACCAATGGACAGACTACATCAGCCAAAACATTAATTCTCGATTTGAGGTCATCCTGCTTGCTAGTGTTAGCATTTAACTGCCATTTTCACACTTACATAACTCACGTCTGATCTAGGCTGGAGTCAGGTTACAGATTCAGGAACCGTATTCCCTTTACCTAAGACCCATAGCCTGTTCATCGCTTTATATTGTAGTGATGAGTTGTTGTTTTCCTTAATGCCCAGTGGTATGTCTGAACATCAAACGCATTGCCTAGGCTTACTCTAGTCTAGTGGTTTGTAATTGAACCAATCATCTTTTGCGATTTCTGCATCAGAGAGTACTGCTCATTCCTCGGTCCGGTCTGGTAAAATAAGCACCACAGCTAGCTGCACTGAATTATTCTCATGACATTGATAAGCATTATAACTGCTGGGAAATAATCTCCTTACACTGTTTGCCTGAAAGCCGCATCTGACACCTGTGTGCTTTGCATGTTTGGAGAGTGGATGGGCTTGGCTGAGATACAGAATGTGTACAATGAGCCTCTAAGTCTATTGGCGTGTCCTCAGTTGTGAGGCAATCTGTGAATTTTTATAAAAAAAACATTGATCAAATACTTAAGAACTCAAAGTCATTTCATCCCGTCAGCTCTGTTCCAAGAAAAAAAAAATGTAGAAGCCTATTCTCTGATGGCACTTCCTTTACTTTATTAGCACAGGTGAGGCGGGTGTTTGTTGGTATCAACATTGTCTAGCTAACTTTAAATGTTGTAACATTACACACATTTACCTATTTCCAAAGGGTTATTTTAAAACTGAAATCTGTAAAGGGGTAAACAGTGCCAATGTTCACCACAGCGACTTTGTTATTGTTTTTGTTTTGTTGATGAAACGGAGGAGAGGAGCGTCCGGCTGCGTGCAGTACATATTCTGGTGTTTTGTCATGCGTGCAATGATGTCAGAGATAAAAAAACATTGTGTTTGTTGGTGAAGTAACTTCTGTGTTGTTGTAATATCCCAAACAGACGTAGCAGTTTCACCATTAAGGATTTCAGCTTTAAGAGGTTTCACTGATTGGGAACTTCTCTTTTTCCTTTGTTGTAGATAATGTCCCAAGAGATAGAAACCTGAAAGACAAGTTCATAAAGCATTTCACAGGTAAGACAACTGCTATCAAAGAGTGTTCAATCAACGTTCAATGTTTTCCTGTTTGTTTCTCGATCAATCTCACCTTACATTTGGGGCCATGTGTATCAAGCCTCTTAGAGTAGGAGTGCTGATCTAGGATCAGGTCTCCTCTGTCCATGTAATCTTATTCATTGTGATCAAAGGGGCAAAATTGATCCTAAATCAGCACTTCTACTCTGAGACACTTGCAACATACAGCCCTGCACACATTATATCAGCTAAAATGTTATAAATCCATGTAAAACTATTTAATTTGTCACTGGAAGACTCTGCTCTGTGAGCTGAATCCACATTTCCGAGTCACGCCTCTTTAATGCCTAATCAAGGAGCAATTTTCTTAAACTTTCCAAAGTTCAACCATGGTGTGACAGTTCAAAGTTATTCCTACACGAGAACCAAATCCCTAAAATTATGTCATTGCCTGGGATGGACCTCACAGATGTGCTGGAGAAAGTTGCCATGAAATGAATTTCTGAGGGCAGTAGGGGAGGGAAGTGGAGCACATTACTCTGGCAGAAACAGGCGGGGTAAAGTTGAAGGCAACGTAAGGTTAAGCTTATTATTTGTAGCAGGACCTCTGAACAGGCTTCAGTAATTGGTGTAAAAATCTGTTATCCAGAAACTCGTTAGAGGCCCAGAAGTACTTGGTAGTGATCATTAAAGCGGCAATCAGCAATTGAAACAATAATAAAGCTAAAGCTAAAAAGCTGAGGGATGGGGCTGGAGAAATGTAACCACTGTCAAATTCATAGACCGAGCTATGGATGCAAGGACTGACCATCCATGATATCAACATTATAGTTTTAACCATGTTTTGAGGCTATACAGTGTTTGTTTACATTTACTTTGTTTACAATCATTGCAGTAAAACAAGCTTATATTCTGGGTTCTGATGGGGTACCACTATTGAACTAAGCTCAAGAGGCATTTATAAGTTATATTCTTCAAGAATCAATGGGTACATATCATTCATTTGTAAGTAAAACAAATGGATGTACTGTAGCTACTACAGATTGCCCCTTTAATTCTAAGTATGAGTCCTATTGTGATGTCATGTATTAGTATGGACCAGTAGTGGATGAACGCAATGCCCTCGTTTTGGGTGTAGGGACTGATCAGAGCCTGAAGGTACGGAGGTGGCGTTCCCCTCACAGCTCCGTAGGCAAGCACCATGGTCTTGTAGCAGATGCGAGCTTCAACTGGAAGCCAGTGGAGTGTGCGGAGGAGCGGGGTGACGTGAGAGAACTTGGGAAGGTTGAACACCAGACGGGCTGCGGCATTCTGGATGAGTTGTAGGGGTTTAATGGCACAGGCAGGGAGCCCAGCCAACAGCGAGTTGCAGTAATCCAGACGGGAGATGACAAGTGCCTGTAGAACTATTGTACATTGTAGAATAGTAGTGAAGACATCAAAACTATGAAATAAAACATATGGAATCATGTAGTAATCAAAGAAGTGTTAAACAAATCAAAATATATTTGAGATTCTTCAAATAGCCACCCTTAGCCTTGATGACAGCTTTGCACACTCTTGTCATTCTCTCAAACAGCTTCACCTGGAATGCTTTTCCAACAGTCTTGAAGGAGTTCCCACATATGCTGAGCACTTGTTGGCTGCTTTTCCTTCACTCTGCTACGGCGGGAAATACACATGCGGAGATCATCCGTTCACCCACACCCCGTCTCACAAAGACACGGCGGATGGAACCAAAAATCTCCAATTTGGACTCCAGACCAAAGGACAAATTTCCACCGGTCTAATGTCCATTGCTCATGTTTCTTGGCCCAAGCAAGTTTATTCTTCTTATTGGTGTCCTTTAGTAGTGGTTTCTTTGCAGCAATTTAACCATGAAGGCCTGATTCACAAAGTCTCCTCTGAACAGTTGATGTTGAGATGTGTGTGTTACTTGAACTCTGTGAAGCATTTATTTGGGCTGCAATTTCTGAGGCTGGTAACTCTAATGAACTTATCCTCTGCAGCAGAGGTAACTCTGGGTCTTCCATTCCTGTGGCGGTCCTCATGAGAGCCAGTTTCATCATATCGCTTGATGGTTTTTGCGACTGCACTTGAAGAAACTTTCAAAGTTCTTGACATTTTCCGGATTGACTGACCTTCATGTCTTAAAGTAATGATGCCCAAATTAACTTTTAAGAAGGCAGACCTGTTAATTGAAATGCACTCCAGGTGACAACCTCATGAAGCTGGTTGAGAGAATGCCAAGAGTGTCATTTTACATTTACATTTTAGTCATTTAGCAGACGCTCTTATCCAGAGCGACTTACAGTTAGTGAGTGCATACATGTATTTTTATTTATTTTATTTTTTTCATACTGGCCCCCCGTGGGAAACGAACCCACATCCCTGCCGGCCAAACCCTCCCCTACCTTGGACGACGCTGGACCAATTGTGCGCCGCCCATGGGTCTCCCGGTTGCGGCCAGCTGCGACAGAGCCTGGACTCGAACCAGGAACTCTAGTGGCACAGCTAGCACTGCCTTAGACCACTGCGCCACTCGGGAGTCATCAAGGC